CCTCTTCTCCCCCCAGCTATGGGTAAATAGCAAGACAGACTGGGTTCTATAGCCTTGGATGGCAACTGGTCTACTGCAGAAAGAAATGGTAACCTACTGTGGGAAAAAGTTCTACCTCGTCAGTCATGGATCGAAAGGTGTATGATCGCCTAAGCGTGTATCATGCATGGCACATAGTGTTCTTATAAAGATATCTATAGAAACAAAATTGTAATTTATTGTAAACTAGAACCTTAAATAAGTTAGAACTAGCTCAAAATTAATTAAAAGCAGTTATATTCTGCTTCATACATATTTCAAACACCAATTGACATTAGTAAATTATGATAAACTTTTACTTCAGTTTGAAATTTTTCACCACACTCTGAGAACACAAGACTTAAATGATAACAGCTATAAGATAAACAAAAGTCACAGAAGGAGAAGGAGAATAATTGGAAGATTGGCAATTACAACTAGACCTGATTATGCAGATGTCCTTATTTTGCAGCATCTGGTAGCAAACAGCAGACCATTGTACAGAATTAACTTTGGGCTTTTTCCTCTGTAGAAGAAGATAAATAACCAGATAATGCCAAGATACTCAATTACTTGCATGATAATTTTCTGCTAATTTTACAAAATAACAATTTGGCATTTTGAAATTAAGATGTAGAAAAATGGGGTAGAAAGAAGTAACAATAGTTGTATGTGTCCAAAAAGGAAATTGCCTTTTTAGATATGTAAGTAATCTCTTTAATATATAAAGAAAATAGCAAGCTATTTCCTCACTATTAATGGTGCAAATGACAACAGTTTTATAAATTCATACTTGAATAAGTATAAATCAGATATTACTAGCCAACAATAAAATGCAATAGTTTGCACTAGGACATGAATGATTTTGACATTTTTAAGAGATAAAAGGTAAAACAATGCAACTGTACAATTTTAGATTTTTCTTTTGTAACAGTTCAGTCTGTCCTCATTTCCACTCAATCTATCCACAAATAAATTAGCAGAGAACAACCACATGTACAGCAAAGATTAAAATATTGAGGAACAATAAACACTCAATGGCAATGGCATATTATATTGAAGGATAATTAGCAATGTATGAAATTTTCATATGAGAGACAACATGGAATAAAATTATCAAACTGAAATTTCAATTACAATATTTCTGGTACATTATCATTTATATTGGCCATGTATTTCTTTATTATAAATACATTTTATCTTATAAGGAAAAGGAACACTTTCATTGCAAATGTATTTTTTTTTGTCATGGTTTATGACCAGTCAAGAATGTATTCTTCCCATACTCAGTCATAGTCTCTTTTCTTCTTTTTTTTTTTTTTTTTTAAAACTTTTAATAAGCAAAATATAAGCAGCCCATTTTCCCCATAACCAACTATGAGTTAAGGTCATAGATAAATACAAAAAATAGTACCATTCTCTTGAGGAGGAATATTTATACAAATGGCTGAAGGTAAATGCCTACACCAATAGAGCTGTATGCCAACCAAGTGCTCTTGAGATTACGCATAGTATTGTATGAAATTCTGAAATGAGTTATTAGATCAAACAACTTACAATTAAAAAAATATGTATGTCATGAATCAATTCATACTAACATTCACATTGCATATAAATAATACCATTCAGTTATCTGATGGATACTTTATGAGAGTTGAAATGTCCAATCACAAAAATATCAGTAGTCCTTTTTAAAATATATTGACTAAATAATTTGTAGATTACGTATAAATTCAATCAGGAAACACATTTTTTTTCTCAATGGAATTTAAAAAGAAAAAATAAAGGAATTATTTTTTGATATTATAATCTATAGTTACTGCCAGGGTTGGCAGTTGCCCGGGGTGTCATCATGCTGCCATGTCATGTGTTTGGGATCTTCCAAAACTAAAGCTTATAAAAACATACTTGCATTCATCCATGACTCAGGACAGATTAAATTCTTTGGCTGTTTTGACAATAGAAAATGATCTTGTAAAGAACATGGGTATAGAAAGTGTCATGAAAAGATTTGGAGAATCCTAAATTTTTATGTAGGATAATGAATGTTTTCTTTAGTTTGTTAAGATGTATATTGTAATAAACTTGTGTTATTCTACATTTTCAGTTTTTCTCCTTGTGAAAATTAAAAAAAAGTACTTGTAAGGGCACCAGGGTGCCAGCAACTCTAGGTCTGTCACTGGTTACAGCATAGACGTCAATCAGTACTCAAAGGTTATACTGAGGAATATTTTAGCCTCCAGTGAAAAAAGTTAGAATTTTGCATCTGGCAATTATTACAAATAATCAAGTAACATATTTCAATATTCACCCTTTAATACGCTAATAAAAAATTGTAAAGTACTAAGAATTGTCAATTCAGATTTCATATTCTTAAGTTACTTAAATTATTTTCTATAAAGTGAAAAAAAAAAAAAAAAAAAAAGAGAAAAAGATTTGTAATAGGAAAACTCAATTGCCCAAAAAGAGTTTTAGGAGTAAGACATTTAGGAATTTAGCAACTGAGGAAATGCCATGGAGAAAGAATTCCCTACCCCAAGTTAATTGAATGTTAAAATAATTCAATTTTTGAAATAACTTAAACCAAGCAAAGTAAATATATGACCACATGTGGATTTTTTAAAAGTGTTTTGGTTAATTTTTTATCATTCTTCTTTTAAAAAAAAAAAAAAAAATTTTTCAATTCCCACAAAGTTCTGCCAGGTGTTTTTATTTTCAACAATGTGACATATTTACTTACTAAAATTTAAAATTTTAATACAGTAGCATTCCCGGACCAATTTTTGAAACCAAGTTGGACTTTAGTTCCTTCAATTTTTAGTGCTTCATAGTTTCTGCTATTGCTACATGACATACGAGTAAGCTATCAACAATGTTGAAAAGTGAGTAGAAAATAATTATCTTCATTAAACAAATACATTGTGTAGCAACCCATAAGCAAGAAGTCAGTAATAATGACTGAACAATCGGTTGCAATATCTTGTTTTTTTTTATTTATGAAACCAAGTTTAAAGTTCAAACAAGAAGAAGACTAACCTACAAAAAAGAATAATGTCATAAAAAGGAAGAAAAAAAAACAAAACAAAAAAAAAGTGTTTTAAAAGAAAAATCCCTAATTTTTCCCCATTTGAAAATAAACGGTAAGATTAATAATGCGTTCAAAGATCTTTTTAATCTTTTTAGTTTTTTATTGACATCTGTGACAGAAAGCTAAAAAATAAAAAAAAATAAAAAACATAGAACTGATGCTAAGTTGAAAACATGATGAGCATAAACAAAATTTTTAAATTTTACGATCATTGAAGCATGATTAAATAAGAAAATCAAGATAATAATTAAAATTACCAGACTAAAAAAAACGAGAACTCTTCAAAGTCCAGTAAAAGATGTCACAAATTCTTTCAGTCAACAAACATTGCATATGGAAGGCTGTTGAAACCGAATACTTCTTTAAAAAAATCTGGATATTTTCATTTTCTAATATAATTTTGTACTTTATGCTAAACATTTAAACATAGTTATCTACTTTTTAATTTTTAAGGAGAAAATTTACAACTTAAAAATGCCTTAAAAAGAAAAAGAAATAAAAAATGTGTACTTTACTCTTTGTCTTTACTTTCTTTACAGTACACTTTTTTTTAGTTTCTTTCTTTAAGATAGCGTACTCCTAAAAAAGATGTTGAAATTTGCCTTGATTATAACAACAATGTCATAAGCTTTTGTCAACTGTCAACATTATTAATATTAGTTCTTAAATAAACATAAGCTGGTGTGTTGTCCTTTTTAAAGTAACAAATTAATCAATTCATCAGTCAATATTTTTTGTTTTTGCATGATCGTGAACAAAAACAAAAGTAAATAAATCAATGATATTAAAAAAAAAAAAAAATAAAAGTAAAACTTTAAGCACTTACTACTTGGGAATCGGATTTTCAAAATAGTCATAATTTACCACCCCCCCCCAAGTTATTGGTTAAAAATTAACAGGGTATTTCGGTTCCTAGCCAGTCTGAGAGAACACTCAATTCAAACCTGTAGAAAGCAACGGAAAACCACTCCACTATATGTCTTAAGAAGTCATGCCAATTCACAGATAAAGATCAAAAACTAAAAAGGAATATGAAAGCCATGATCGCGCCTTAGTCCTGAAGACTTATTCAAAGAAATTTAAAATTTCATAAGAAAAAAGAAACAACGTAAAAATCAATGTTGTTGAGTGAACATTAGTGTTTATACAGTAACATCGGCGCAATATCAAAGGGGTGAAAAAAAGTTTTACAAGCTGAGAGCCAAAAAAGGGGGATTTTTTCCTTTTTTATTTTTCATGTATTTTTCAGGATTTGTTTCTTTAAGAGGATTGATCATTTCAATAATATAATGCTAAACAGCATTAAGAAAAAAACTTATTTTAAAAACTTTCAAACTTTTTTTTTTACAGAGTTCTCGGCCACGTAGAATATTTTTAAAGAGAAAAAATATTTGTTTCTACATGAATGCGATAATGACAATATTTTTCACTTACAATTTTTCTTTAAAAAAAATAAATACATTAAAGTAACTTTAGAAATAAACACAAGGAATCTGCATTGTGATTTAAAGAAAAAAGACTTTGTAAATTAAAAAGGAAGAATGGAAAGCGAGACAACAACACAGACGACAGGCTTAATTTAATGAAGAGAACAGAAAGAAAAAACAGGGCGTAGTTCAACGACTAAATTTACCAACACAGACTACTTTATTCTTACTTATTTTCCACTCTCGTGAATACATTTCATTTACTTATTTCTGATCTACTCTAACCACTGGTCTGTCCGTAAACATTAGTAGAAGTATTACTAAGTATTTTCAAACTGAAGCTACGAACAAAAAAGAAAGAAAAGATGGAAACACTTTTTTTAACAGTTAGAAACAAAGTGTGTAAAAGTTAAAGCATTGTGCACGCTGAGATCTGGAAACGAAAAAAGAAATTAACATCAACTTACCTACAGATATATTTCCTCCAAGAAACGTAGTGTTAACTAAAATAAGTGTAGCATTCATAAAAAAAAGATGGCTGCAACTTTGTTAGGGAGTAGGAGGGGGACATTACCCAACCGAATGTGCGTTGCAAGCCAACACTTGATTGGATCAATCTTTAGTACTATATGAAAACATTATTTAGTTAGAAGCTTAGTGACTTTAGTGATTAATCCACTACTAAACACTAATTGAGTTGAAATTCAAGTTGTCCATATTATTGAGTTTTTTTCTTTTATAGTTCACTGAATTGATACTATTTCATTTGGACATCAAAACTTTAATTTACTCTTAAATTAAAACCACATATATGTAAGAAAGTTAGACAAATTAATAATTAGTAATTTAAATCTTATATTGATAGTTCTAAGAATTGATTAATTGAAAATGACATTTTAAACAAATGAGTTAGAAACCTTTGAATATATATATATATATATCTTTATGCTTGCATAAATATTTGTCTTGGAATTCGTTCAGTCATACAGATGTCTATTGTCACAGATGGTTTCATTGGTTGGTTTATTGATCTAAACTATTTATAAGCAAAACTTAGTTTCCATGAATTGCAAAGAGTCAACATTCAAAATTCAAATTTTCACTTTTGATCATAGGAATTTCAAGCTTTTGCATCACAGTTATCAAAATAGATGTTTTTCTGTTTCTCATTACATGCGCAATACTCATAATGAGTGAATATGCTTTCTGCAATTCATTTTTTGCTTTAAAACAATATAACAAAATGTTTATTAATCCACTAATTTAGATTGTAATCCAGTGAATGCAAAGGTTTCAAGGTTGTTTCTGAGGCTCAGAGTTCAAGTCCAAGTAAGGTCATATCTATATTTAACAGACTGTACAATTTTCCATTAGCACTGTTGTGCAAAAAACTTGGTGATTAGTATTTATACCATATTATTTATGACATCAAGTAAAAACTTTGTTGTAGTAATTGATATCAATAAATACTACTTGTGTGACTGACTATTCCATCATCACTAATCATGTTCAGAAATGTTTCTGATAGTTTAACTTTTTCTTGGATTGGTATGACACTTTACTATATCTCTTTTAAAATATATTGCTGAAGTAAATACTGTATTCTAGTAGTTGAATATGTAATTGGTACATGACATATGTTACATAACACAAATTATAAAACAGATGAAATGCATGACTGAAAATACTATGTCCATCTCATCAAACCAGGGTGCTCTGTATTCTGACTACAGTGTTACATTAATGTTCCTTGTAGCAATGACCAAATCTCTAGGGAGTAACAATGGAAAATATCTCCTTTTTGATATGGACATTCAGAAGATAGGAACAGGAAAATAACCTCTGTCTTGCACACACACACACACACACACATGCATGTGTTGAAAAAATCTCAGCTCAATTTACTACTCAAAATTTCACTAAATGACCAAACATCAGAATTTATTTTTGGGGGCGAGATACATGACATGGAAACTTATTATATAATACAATATACATGCTATGAGGATTTGACAAAGAAAGAAAGGAAAAAAAAGAAGAAAGATAAGAAAAAATCTTTTTTATTTTTGAACAGCAGTTAACTAATCTGAATTCAGGGTTATACTTAGGCTGAGCAGATCTTACTCTCTCTCTCCGTCTCTCATCCTCTCACATATATGTAATCACACACAACCTGGCAACTGCATGCTTACATCTCTGAAATATGACATAATCAACTGAGAAATCACTATCAAACTTTCTATCAGCTTACATACTAAAGCATCTAAAGCACTATGTAAATCAAAAATGGAATTAATAGCAACTAAATAATCGTTAGAAAATTGTCTTATGCAGTTGTCCATTAGGTAAAGTCATGCAGCTCTGTTATTAGAAACCTCTGTACAGAAATAATCCCTGAAAAAAAAAAAAACAAAAAAAAAACATTTAAATGATATACTTGTCCCAGTAGATGAATGTTGACAGCAGATTATATCTGTTACTCATAGAGATAGTCTGGAGTAATTTCACAAAATTAGAAAATCACTAGCAGCATTGATAGCCACCTTGTATACTAATTTGTGCAAATAGGAATTTCAATTTTTCTTTTATAATTTTGTTTAAAGTAAAAAAATAGTTGCTGGAATATGTCTAAGTAGTTCTCTACTGATTTATCTTGTAATTTATCATAGAGATTCTGATTGTTCTTGAAGGTCAACATGCTGAATTATATTAATTCCTATAGAAACATAGCAAGTCCTATTTAATTTCATTTTGTCAGGCCATTTAATTGCTTTTTGAGGCTCCTATAGAGTAATATTTTGCAAATGATATGAATCATTTTAATTGTGTCTCTCATTTGCACCAATTCTTGAGCCCTTTTTAGTAGTAGATGAAGCATGTAAGTGAAGTGTTCTCTTTCATTCTAGCTTGGAAGTGATTATGTTGTGTTGTCTCCCAAAATAACACCTACAAATCAACATTCATTAAGATAAAAATTCATAAAACAAGAAATGTTGCTTAATAATGTATATCTGTTTTATAATACTTTGGCTAATGTACTGTCTGCTCTGATTTGGTTGTCATGTTTTGTGTTCTTGGGTGGGTCAGAATGATTTTGTTGGAGTATTTTCATACATTGTTTGTTTCACTGTAAGTTTGACTTGAAAAAGTTGCTCATCTTTAGTTTGTATTTGTTTCTCCATATAAGTGAGTTTAAGTCTCTCAGTAGTGACAGCATCCATATTTTCTGTTTGTGAATAATATAAAACATGTCTGATTCATGTAACACTATAGTGAGAGATAAAAAATTATCACTCCTTGGCCAAAACAAAAAGTAACAATAAAAATTAATTATAAATATTCACAAGAATAGAAACAGTCGTGATCTGATGAAACCCACACAAGACATCATTAGGCAGGAAAGTCAGTCTTCCTCATTTTGGTTCTTTCAGTTTCAAGATGCACAATTTCAGGCTTGTAACAACCAGACAGATAAGTACAAAATTTATATTGGTTTTGTTACTAAGTCTTTTACAAATAAATATATGCAAACCTTGTATTAAGTAATTCCAATATATATATATATATATATATATATATATATATATATATATATATATATATATATTTATAACATACAACGTGTGTTAGCACGTACGATACCCCTGTCTTCATCAGCTGCCGACCAGGGGTGATATCACGGTTTCGGTGGCTTTGGCGGGACCGCCACCCTGGCGCCACCAGCAGCGTTTGCCACCAGACAGGGTATGAAGATAAGCTAATTAATCGTTCTTTTAAGTAAAATCTATCTGCAATGAAAGTTTCTTGAACGCGTTTGTCGTTATTGACGCGCTCGTAAAAATCGTTATAGACGACTACGCAAATATCTCACTTGCGGATGTTAGGTCGTGATGTTGCGCGCATTCTATTTGCTTGTTTTGATCTCGACCAAATCCAACTTGACGCGTGTTGAACAGTTTTTTGAATGCGATCTGGAAAACTTTTCAACCAACGGCCAGTGATGCCTATTTTTGAAAGGAAGGAAATGACCGAATGTCCCAGAAACCCACGACACCCAATCTCAATAGGCATCACGTTACACGTCCAACCATTTTCCATACATTCGGCACGCAGTGACTCGTACCGGTTTTTCTTTAGTTCGTGCGTCTCCACCCTGTTCTCTTCCCAAGGGACTCTATTAGGAAAACAGTCTTTTTTTGAGTCGGACCACAACACAATGTCGGGACGCTTGTCTGTCTGTACGATATGTATTGGAAATTTTAAGGATGTCATTAGATCCACTGAAACCTTCCAATCACTGGCACTACTCAGCAGCTTTATATTGGGGGCTGTTTGTTTTTTCTTTGCAGGGCATTCCCCCTTTCTTATGGAATTCGATCTTAGTTTCCTTGATTGCCACAAGCTGTTGATTTGCTGTCTCACATTGTGTTCTTATTAGATCCCTTATCACCTCTAATACCTTGTTGTGTCGCCACGTGTACATCTGGAGCGATTGTGGACAATCAGAAAGCACATGACGCAAGGTACCTCGGTCTTTTTGACACGAAAAACAGAGATCTGTATCTGTGTATCCCCACATTTTCAGGTTTGTTTCATTTGGGAGAAGATCGTATGTAGATCAAAGAAGGAAAGATATCGCCAATATATATAAAGTGTTTTTATATGAAGTTTTATACACCTTAAACTAGGTCTATGTTACATATTACCACACAACAAGACTGAACAATCTTTTGTTGTGGATATTGCATATAAATCACCACAGCGTATCTTTAAGTATGTAATGTTGCGTAGTAGTAGGTCTTGTTGGTGAGAATCTTAAATGTGACATTTTATTCTTCAGGTCACAATCTATTTGATGGCTTTGAAGTTCTATTATTTTCAAAAAGATTCTTGTTAATGTGAGAGATATCCTGAATACAAGCTCTACCTTCTTTAATAATGTTCCTGGTGATAGGAACACAAGAGACAGATTGTCTATCCAATTTGTTTTATGTTATATTGTAAGTGCTGTCTTTAATTGTCTATGAAAACATTCAACATTACCATTTCCATATGAATGATATACAACTGTCTTCATGTGTTTAACTCTGAAGAGTTGAATGAATTCATTAAATAATATTAATTGGAACTGAGTGTCCTTGTCAATTTGTATAAGAGAATGAACACTAAAATTTGATATCCAATCTGACAGGATAACTCTTACCATGGTTTCTGTACATATATTTTTTAATCACATAGCATTTGTCTATAGTGTAAAATAAGCAACAATTCTGAGTATGTAAATACTAAATATGTAAATACTAAATATGTAAATACTGTTGGTAGTTGTAAAGTTTAACTATCTCTTTGTGTATGTTAGTAAAAATGAGCATTACATGTTGCAAATGTTCCTGGAAATGACACTGTGTGTCTATTCACCTTAAATTTCTGGCATTGTTGATGGTGTACATATTTTTGCATTCTTCTTTGGCCAAATATCACTCATTACCCTTAAAGTTGGACTTTTCTTTGGGGGTGCTAGTATA